GCTCAGGCACACCTGGATCCTGGCCCCTGGCCTGGTGACCCTGAAGGCCAGGACCACTGTGAGAGTCTTGGCCAGAACAGAGGAGACGGCCACCGTGAACACCACAGCAAAGGTCGTCTGACGCAGGAGGCACGTGGGGACACTGGGGCGGCCAAGGAACAGCAAGGCACACAGGGCACAGAGGGAGAGGGAGATCAGCAGGAAGTAGCTGAGGGTTCTGTTGTTGGCCCTGACCACGGGGGTGTCCCTGTGCTTCAGGAACACTCCCAGAACCAGGACAGCCAGACCAGCCAGGAAGAGTGCCACCAAAGCCAGCATGAATCCCAGAGGTTCCTCAAAGGCCAGGAAGATCTCTGTCCTGGGCAGGCAGCGGTCTCTGGTGTGGCTCGAGTACTGTTCCTTGGGACACAGGAGACATCTCTTCATGTCTACGGGAAACACAGACACCATTCCTACAAAACAGTGCCAACTGCACCAGCTCGGAAGGAAGGTGCCCCAAGCACTCCCTGCCCTTACAGCCTTTCCATCAAGTCATGCATTTATGAATTATTCTTGGTGACCAGGGCTGAGATGGGTGGTATTAGAGGCAGAGGCACAAAGGAAAATGCTGCACGTTCTGTGTCTGTTTTATGTGAGGGTTTTTGTTTCTGTCCTCAGTGTCTCATGGAACTCAGGCTGAGGGGCAGAGGATGGATATGAACTCCAAAGCCTCCTTCCTCAATCCCTTAAGTGCTGTGATTATACAAGTGCACCACTATACCTAACCTATGCTTGTGTGTGCAGGTTTGTGTGTGCACACATGTTTATAAGTGGATGCACATGCTTGTCAAGACCAGACATTTAACATGTGATATAATTCCTCAATCTTCCCCCTTATTTTGCTAACTAAACTTTTTTGTATATTTTGTGTGCATATGTATCTTTATGGGCTCAGGCATGCCCTGGTTTGCACATAGTGGTAAACAAAATTTTCATGAATTTGTTATTCTCTTTCTACATTTAGATTCCAGGGACTGAAATTATGCTGTCAGGGTTGATGGTGAATACTTTAACTGATGGACCCTGTAACCAGTCTGCACAGCTTCTTCTTTTATAATCACCTCTTTTTTTATATATGTTGAGAGTTTTGTCTGTACATATTTATTGAAATCATGTGCATGTCTAGAGTGTGCAGAAGTCAAAAGAAAGCAACAGTTTCCCTATAACTGGAGTTTACTTGGTTGTGACCACCATGTTGTGTTTCTAACTGCTGAGCTACCTCTATGGGCCCCTTTTCACCTTAATTTTTAAGACAGGATATTTTACTCAACCTAGAGATCACTTTGTTGACTATACTAGCAGGATACAATGCACAAAGACACTCCTGTCTCTGGCCTCAGGGTGCTGAGATTAAAGGTCTCTTGTGTGAGTTCTTAACAGTTCATTTCAGTGAAACAGTACCACTAATTGGTCAAATTAACAAATGTTTTACACTGTGCTGAGTCCCCAAAATTCATTTGTTGAAATCCTGCACCTAAGCACCTCAAAATGAGATATAGTTCTCATGGGTAAACTGGTGATAAATAATAAAGGTTAAATGAGGTCTCCAGGTTAAATTAGGTACACACTAACCCCAACAGTGCAGCTATTCTACTAAGAAGGTGGAGCTGGAGTGGTGGTGGTTGCACATGACTTTAATCTCATGATTTGATTTTAGGGGCAGAGGCACGTTGACTTTTAATAGTTCAGGGAAAGACTGATAAATGTAGTGACTTCCAAGTCAGCCAGGGCTGCAAGCAGAGACGGTGACTCAAAACCAAACAACAAGCCAAAAGAAGACACACACACACACACACACACATAAACACATACACACTCACACACACAAACACGCATAACAACAATGAAATGGGAGCACCCAGTGAGGATATTCTCTTCCAAGGCCTCACACAACACCAACTCTGGTGAAAACTTGGCTTTGCTTTCCAACTTTCAGAAAGGTAAAGGAATAACTTCTGTAGCTGNGTCAAGGATGACACAGTTTTATAGCATAACTCTACCTCCAGGCAAAGATTATGAAGAAGGAAGTGTGGGATGCTGACCCTTCCCAGATCAAGACCATTGAAAAGTTTTTCAAAAGAATCCTGAAAACACATAGTATGTGTCTTTCTTTCATGCTTGGGAAATCCATGAATGGGAATCTCATTCTCATGTGGAAAACCTTAAGGCCACCATTGACTGTAGAGGCCACCAGAATGAAGTTAGATAAAGTTGCAGAGGAGGGGATTCTTTCTTCACTGGAACAGGACAGTGAGCTGAGCCATTTCTATGTACCAGACTCCACACATAGACATAAATAACACAACACTGTTTCTAATATTGTTAATAAATATCAGGGTTTGAATCTCAAATGTTTCTCAACGTCTCTTGTGTTGGACCACTGGTCACCTGACTGTGGGTATGTAAAGAATGATTGAATATTGATGCTACGGTAGTTTCAATGTAATTGGCCAAAATACGCACATATGGAGAGGCACTATGGGAGATTTGACTTTGTTATAAGAAGTGTGTCATTGTGGGTATGGATTTGGGGTATCATATATGCACAAGCCAAACCCAGTGACCCAGTTCACCTCTTGTAGCCTACGGGTCAAGATTTAGGACTTTCAGTTCCTTTATCCAGGACCATGTCTGCCTGCATGCCACCATGTTGCACCAAGATGATAATGAATTAATCTCTGAAAATGGAAGCCACCACAATGAAATGTTCTTCCTTTCAAGGAGATGTTGGTGTCATAGTATCTCTTCATAGCAATAGAAACCTTAACTAAGACAGCAGATGGTTCCTGAAAATTGAGTATTGAAGTGATAGCCCTGGTAAAGCTTCTGCTTCAATAAACGTGGACCACGGGACAGTGGATTAGAAAAGCAGTAGGAAATTTTAAGTGATGCTTAGTGCTACTATTGCCATACTACTAGGAGCATGGGAGACTAAGGGGCTGAGTGTGATTAGATTAACTGTTGGCCAGGCTCAAGAAGTTTCAGAAGTAAAGAATATTAATGTATTGCCTAGAGATTTTTCTTGGGCTATTAAGGTGAAGAGTGTGGCTGCTGTTTGCACTAGTCCACAGAGTCTGCCTGAGGCTAAATTGAAGAGTTTTGGATTAATTTCATTGGCAGTAAAAAAAAAATCTCAAAAAAGCATAATATAGACCCTGTCATGTGGCTATTAATATTAACTCTAATGAAATTTTCAAATGAAAAGGAGCAAGCTGAGCAAGGAAAAATACAAAATGTAAAATTTGAAGAGAAAAGGAATATCATGACCTGGCCTAGAGCTAAATCCTGTGTTGAACGTGAGAAACAGATTAAAAAATGGAATAAAGTGAAAGTGACATAGTTCACTTCTTGTTGCCTACAGGTCAAGATGTAGAACCCTCGGCTCCTTCTCCAGCATGATTTCTGCCTATACGCCACCATGTCCCATAAGAATGATTTTGGACTAAATAAACCTCTGAAAATGTAAGCCACCTCATTAAATGCTTTTCCTTTATAAGAGGTGCCTGGCTGTGGTGTCTCTTGACACTAAAAGAAACCCTAAGTAAGAGAATGCCTCTGACAAGATCAATGGATTAATTCGTCAATGGATTCGCAATCTGATAAATTATTATACATATTAGAAATAAAGCATGGGACTAGGTTTAGGGTAGTGGGACATGGAGGCTATGCACTGGTAAGATGTAACTTGATTACCTGTCTAATCTATCAAGATCCCTACCACCTCACTTCCTGAACCACATGCCCTCATCAGCAAATTCTCCCACCACATGTCTGCTGCCCTGCATGACACACTGCCTCAATTACACACATCCAGAGCAATTGATACATCTGACCCTGAATCCCTCAAACCATGAGATGATTAAAACTTTTCCTCACTTCAAACTGTTCTCAGGTATTTGTCATTGTGGCTGAAATAAACTAACACAGTAAGTAAACTGATGGTCTATGGAAAGGTAGTTAACTGAGTGTATCTCTATCTTCCTCCTCTCAGAGCAGGTCCTGAACACAGACACTGAATATATTTCCAAGGGAGCACCAACTACAGATTCTCATTGTATTTGTACATCTTGTATGTTAAAACCTTCCCCCATTTCCATAAGTATGGGTGGTGGAAATGTGTGTATGTGCCATCATACACCTATGTGAACTCATGTTCATGTATGGACAAGCACATGTGGAGGCCCAAGATTAATGTTGGGATTCATCCTCAATTGCTTTTCCACTGTGTTCATTGAGGCAGAGGCTCAAAGGAAAACCCAGAGTTCACTGATACAGCTAGTCTTACTGGTCAGGTCTCTGTGGGCATCTCCTTGTTTCTATCTTCCAGGGATGAAATTACAGGTGAGACCCACTGCCCACTTAGCATGTACAAGTGTTCTGGAGATCCAAAGTCTGGTTCTTTATAATGCATACAAAACAATTTGACCACTGAGCAATCTCCCAACCCCACCTTTTATATTTTCCTTTTTGCTCGTGAATCAATATCATTCAGAGAAAGATCTCTAATGAGATAAACAGCATAGCCAGTTATAACTGACTGGCCCAATCAGAGCCACCTCAACTTCATGCACAGTAGTAACGAATTCCCCTGGACTTGGAATTTCCCTGTGATTTTAACATACAAGGACAAGAGTCATATCTGCATTCAGGCAACTCACTTGAATTTCCTTCTTCAAATGGACCATCATTTTGTTCCCCGAAGAGACTTGAGGGTCTATCATTCCTACATGGACCAAGCGGAATATACCCTTAGGGGTCTTCTGCGCTTGGAAAATGTCAAATTTTTTCACCAAATCTCCATTGGCATCAAATATAATTTCACTTCCATCGGGAGTCTTGAAGTGCACATTCCTAAGAGCTTGAAGCAGCTGAGGAAAGAAGGGAGACATTGTAGACCAGCCAGGGGCAGTCTGGAGTCTTGTCCAAACCACATTCCATTCACAGTGAGACAGAGTCACTTAAACCAAGGATTGGCACCATTGGGCATAAGGAAGATCAAATATGTGTGATATATTCAGGAACTCACCAATATGTTTCTCTATCTGGGGGGGGGGGGGGGGGAGGAGTGTCTGTGTGTGTGTGTCTCTGTAGATAACACAAGCATTGTGGCTAACACAGATAAGAATAATGGGCTAATGTAAGTTATAAGAGTTAATAAGAAGCCTGAGCAAATAGGCCAATCAGTTTGTAGTTAAGGTAGACGTCTGTATGATTTCTTTGCGACTTAACGATTGTGAGAACTGGGCAGAACAGAAACTCATACAATGAATGGTGCCCAACATGTGAACAACTGCATCCACATAAAGCCTGAAAGAGCACAGGAAGTAATTCTAGACATAAAATAATAGAGTTAAGCGTGTCTTGCTGATAGCAGGATTTTTTAAGGTAGGCTCTGCTTGCTAAGAGGCAAGAGCTCTTATTTAATAGAGGCTTCCTGACTCAGCTTTAGCTGCAAAAGCTTGCAGCTCTTTAAAGAGGTCCTGACACGAAACACTTAAATGGTGTTGCTGAAAAGCTGACCGCATGCTTTCTGTTGGTGGCAGGAACCTTGAAACACCATAGAGTCTTGGCAATAAGCATGGCTACAGCCAGTACATCTGCCATGAGGCTGGAATCTCATAAAGCTAAGGAATGGGCTGGATCCAGCCATCAAAGCCACGGCGTTAATCCTACCCATATTGCTTAGCAAATTAAAGACTCGTGTGGTCAGAAAAAGAGAGAGAGAGAGATACAGAGATTCAAAGAAGAAAAAAAACCTTTAAATGGTTTACAGTGTGTTAAAATGTATGCAGGCTTGGAAAAAAGGTTAAAGTCCTTAAAATAAAAAAGAAAGAGTACGTGGGTATGGTGGTACACACCTTTAATCCCAACACTTGGGAGACAGAGGCAGGCAGACCTCTGTGAGTTCAAGGCATGGTTACATATGCCTTTAATCCCAAATCTTGGAAGGCAGAGGCAGACACATCTCTTTGAATTCAAGGTGTGGTAGCACACACCTTTGATCCAAGCACTTGGGAGGGAGAGGAAAGTGTATTTCTGTGAGTTCAAGGACAGCCTGATCTACATTGAGACTTCCAGGACAGTCAAAGATACACAGAGAACCTGTCTCAAAAAGCAAAATATTAAAAAATAAAGATAAAATAAATAGAGGTTATAATAAAGCCATGTAAAGATGAAAAATACACAGAGAGTCTGGATAATGTATGTTATTATGTTCTCTTTGAATTGTTTGAATGCTGAGGAAGGAGCAACAGCTACTAAAAGATATTTGCTTGTAAATGTTGCTGAATTAATTCAAGATAGGTATTTTGAAAATTCCTTGACTTAAAAATTGAAGGCAAAAGGTATGTTACTTTGGAGAAGAGATTTTGCTTTTGTTTTCGCAGGAAATGAGAGGATGAGGATTCATTCTGAGTTAAGAAAAATCAACTTTGATCAAGAAAGGTCACCTGAGAAATCTCCAGTAGGAACAAATGGCCCAGATATCTGAGTTCAACATCCAGAACAGATTCAAGACTTCTCCTTGAGATGATCAAGACTCACAGGATACTCCAGTCAGGACTCGATCATAATACTAAATTTTCTTTAGGTCCCCATAAGATTACCAGCACCACCCACCAGCAGGAAGTAGCCTGGAAAACTACACCCACATTCAAAAAAAAAAGGGACAATGGATATTCTTGGTTTTTTTTTAAAGAGAGAGAAGTGGTAAGGGACAATTGTCTATATTCTGTCAATGATGTGTTAAATAAGAATTGATTGACCAGTAGCCAGGCAGGAAGTATAGTCATGACAACCAGACAGGAAGTAGAGGCAGGTCAAGGAGAACAGGAGAATTCTGGGAAGAGGGAAACTCCCCCTGGAGTCTTGTCCAGAACAGAAGACACAAGATGTGACTACGCCACTGAAAAAGATACTGAGCCATATGGCTAACACAGATAAGAATAATGGGCTATTATAATTTATAAATGTTAATAAGAAGCCTGAGCTAATGGGCCAAATAGTTTATAGTTAATGTAGACCTCTGTGTGATTTCTTTGGGACTTAATGATTGTGAGGACCAGACCAGACAGGAACTCAGACAACAACTCAGTTCCCTTCACTTGTTCATTCTCAGTCTACTTTATAGCCTCATCATGAAGTACACACACACACAGCTTGACATTTACGTATTTCAATTTTGTGATAAAATCTTCCTTTGTAGTCCAAGTTGGTCTCAACATTCTGTGTGCTAGTATGATAAACATGGGCCTCCAAACCTGACCTTCTGCAAATTTTAATCTGTCACCCCAGTCAAATGACAAAAATTATCACTATTCCTCCTGTTTCCAACCATATGTATGTTCACCAGACACACACATTATACTCAGGTTATCTGAGTGATGGTAATGAAAACACACCTCCTCTTTGGCCACCATTCTCACTGTTTACCTCATCAGTGAGCAACATGTCTTCCAGGAGTCTTCTTATATATCTTGAACTAAGATAACCTGAGCAGCTACAAAAAGATGGATGAATAGATAGATAGATAGATAGATAGATAGATAGATGATAGATAGATAGATAGATAGATAGATAGATAGATAGATAGATGATGGATAGATGGATGAGGTGGATGATGAATAGGTGAATGCATGGATGGATGGATGGATGGAAATACAAAGAGACAGGCAGGTGGACAGATAGACAAAGACTCAGGGGAAAATGACCAACATACATTAAACATGTATGAAATTATCAATAATATTTAAATAGAATAATAAGTAAGGGCTTTGGATATGGCTCAGTGAATAAAGCACTTGTCATAAAAGCCTGAGGATCAGACTTCAAAACACAGAACCCACCTAAATTTCAGGTGGATGTGGCCACTATTCTCTAATTACATTCTCAGAAGGAGGAGACAGGAAATGCATGAAAAAGCTGACTACCGAGACTAGCCACATCAACAAGTTCTGGGATTGAGTGAGAAACCATGCCCCAAAAATTAAGATGGAAGAATGATTGAAAGGTGATTCCTTGTCATCCTCAGATATTCCCACAAGTATGTACAAGTGAGTGCACATCCCACCCACTTGTGCCCACATGCCCACAAACATGTGCCCATATACATGTCCCATACACCAAAAAATGAAAAATAAATGGCATTTGATATCTGTTTGAAATTCTGATTTGCAGCAATCTATACTAAAAGTCATCCACTGTTTATCAAAGCGTAAATTTGCGGTATTAAAAACTCTATGATGTGGGATGCCCTTCTGTATGCATTGAATATGTATTGATTTTATTGGTTGATGAATAAAGCTACTTTGGCATATGGCCAGGCAGAAAATTGTCAGTCAGAAAACCCAAGCTAAATACAGGAAAAAAGAAGGAAGAATACAGACAGATGCTAGCAGCTGACAAAGCAGCAAGATGTGAAGTAACAAGCCACAAACTCATGGTAAAATATAAAATAATAGATATGGGTTAATTTAAAAGTAAGAGCTAGTTAATAATAAGGTTAAGCTAATAGATCAAACTTTTATAATTAATATAAGCCTCTGAGTGTTTATTCAGGAACTGCTGGACAGGGAAGAAAACACTTACATATTTACTGTTATGTGAAATACTAATTTTACTAGGCATCCTGTATTGGTTAAATCAAGCAACCACCAGGAACTGGACTGTTCTTGGATCCCACACATGGCAGGGATTCCTTGGCCACTGTTCCTTCTAAGAAGCCTCTCAGTAGCAAGTATGAAACATCGTGCTAAAGCATACAGTCAGCTGCACCTCTATAGCTTAGTCAGAGACAATGTCCTCTTCCCCAACCATCTGCAGTCACCCACTGCACACGTCTCTCTCACCTGCCAGGGCTGGAAGTCCTGGGAGTCTGTACTTTTCCCATCCTGCTGTCCACTGGTTATCATGTCGTGCAGGGCATGGGCAATGCTGTAGACAGCTGTGTAAGCAACATCAATTTTACTCACTTCTGGGAAAGGATACTGCTTGTTTATCAGACTCTCATTCCCTGAGCAAAGCTGGACACCCTCTGTCACTGGGCTGCTCTGGTGGGGCCATGTACAATCAAAGGTGAACTCCCAAAACTTCTTTATAAACATGTCTTCTGGAGTCTGGCTGGGGCGTAGATTAGCAAGGAACTCTGGGAAGCCAATAGCCCTGCTGCTGTAATAGAGAAGGCCAAATGTGCCAAACAATACTTGGGAAATGCCTGGAGTAGACAGGGCAAGTGCCATGTGCGTAGTATCCTTGCTGACCCAGACCTGCCCTGAGACAGGGACACCCAGTAGGCCATGAAGAATGAGCAGGAAATTAGAATTACTTAGGAAAACCAGAACAACCCTGGCTGTGCATTTCTGCATCTTCTGGACAATCTCTCCAATCTTCTCCATGGACTCATGGGAAGGGACATGGAGGGCGAACTCAATGCACACACCAGCTGAACTCAGTTCCTGAATGGCCAGAGAGCTGGCCTGCTCTCCAAAGTCATCATCATGGGCCAGAATGATCACCCAGGACCACTGAAAGTGAATGATCAGCTGGGTCACTGCTCGGCAAGATGTGAAGTCACTAGTCACGGTCCGAAGGAAAGATGGGAACTGGATCTTGTCACTGAGGCTGGGTAGTGAGGATGAGTAACTGATCTGTCAAAGAAAAATCAGACAATAGAAGGGTGGATGAGACTGGGACTTATGCATAGGCTGATGATCTGGTTTGAAGGTGGGAAGGAGGGGCCTAGAGAAATGGCTCAGCAGTTCAGAACCCTTGTTCTTCTTGTAGAAGACCCAAGTTCAAGTCCTAGCACACACAGCAGAGGGCTCACATCTCCCTACAACTCCAGATCCAGGAAATTTGATATTCTTTTCTGGCTTTTCCTAGACTCACATATATAAACATACACATGAATGTATATTAATTTTAAAACGCAAATAATTTTTAAGAAAGGACTTGAGCATCCTGTATTGTGATGGTCCTATAAGCAGTTGTGGCCTCTCACTGGCTGCTCATCCCAGACACAGCCCTTTGGCTTCAGGAATGAAGCTCAAAACTTCACATAGCAGATGCTCGATGGAAGCAGATGTGGCCCTGGTATAACAGGAAGCAGAGAATATACAGAAAATGGGACCACCAATTTTAGCCTGAATCCTACCTCCTCCAGTGGCTCTCCTAATAAAGGTTTAAAAACCTTCTAAGAAAGGCCCAGGCCTGGGGGATAAATCTACAAACACATGAGCATGTTTTATATTCAGAGGTAAAGGAACTGATAAAAGGATAAACAATTCATGGCCTTTACATACAAAAGATTATAAGTATTCTTAAGGAGAGAAATGTTGGCACTTGCTACAACATGGATGAACCTTAAGGCATGTTCAGTGAAAGAAGCCAGGCCAGACACCTACCTATAGTGTGAATCCAGTCATGTAAAATGAACAGAAAAACCAAATCCACAGACACAGAAATTAGATTAGAGGTTGCTTCAGATTAGGAATGATGGGATGTGATGCCAATGGGCTTGCTTGAAGGAGGAGTCTCTTTGCAGGAAAAAGAACATGTTCCAAATCACCTATGGTAATCATGCTAAGATATAAGTCACTAAATCATTCAACTTAAATAGATAAAGTATCCCGAAGTCACCTCTTCAAAACTATAAACTGAGAGGTTTGCCATATATGGCCACGCTGTGGGAATGACAATAATGGGTGGGTTAATGGGAATATCCATGCGGTAGAAGAGACCATTGGCAGGAGCTCAATTTTCTAGACTCAAATCTCAGCTCTGCTAGCTACAGCCAGGTGAGATGACTGATAAGCTGTGTTTTTTATTTTCTTCGTTGTTTCTTTGTTTTCTCAGTGACCTGGGAAGATGTCTCCACAGGTAAGGGTTTTTACCACCAAGTCTGCAAAATGTCATTTACTTCCCAGAACCAACGTAGAGGAGAAGAACTGATACCCAAAAGGTGTCTTTGAACATGCAGATGGGAACAATGGCACTGGTCTTGAGTATACACACAAAGACCCACAAATAATAATTAATAATAATAAACACTGTAGAGATGATTCAGTGGGTAACAGTATTAACTATTTCAGTAACTACTATTTCAGAGAACTGACTCTCAATTCCCAGCACCCTTGTGGCACTGATAAAACATCTGTAATGCCATTCTAGTGTATTCCATGTCCTCCACTGATTTTAATGGTTAAGGCACTCATGGAATACATATGTGCATATAAATATATATACACGCATATATACACACATATGTGTGTATAAAATTTACATATATGCATACATGTATATGTACATGTGTATATATACATGAAGGAAAAATACTCATACACATAATGTAAAAATAAATAAATCTTTAAAAATATTTCTTAAATATAAAAGATATGTTCTCAGTTTCCTGGTCACTGAGAGGGATGCCAGTTCTCTCTAAACTATCTTTATATGGAGGGGAACCATGTTGGACATGGAGAATACTTGCAGGGAGCCTGGCTCCACAGCAGAGCTGCTCACGCCTGTGGCCATCACCATCAGGTTCTCTATCATCATTAAGGGACTGCACTACATTCATGAAGGAAGAAGGCTTGAGACACTCACCTGGGGAAACTTGTACAGCCCCAGAAGTCTGGCCATGGAGACAGACAGGGATGATCGTGTGTCCCCAACCAGAGCAGCCTGAGGAGAGCCATGCTGGCAGGTATAGTTGGGGATGGGCTCCTCCTGCCTCGAGAGAAAGCTCATTGTCTCGTGGACGGCTCCATGCACTGAGTCTGCAGAGTTTCGAATGGAGAAGCCCAGAGTCAAATTGGGCAACAAGTGAGCACTCCTATTAATCTCCTCGATGGCAAAGACGAAACTCTGGGCCACGCGGTAGCCCCACTTGGAAACGCTGAGGGAAAGAGAAGCCAACATTTATCCCTCATGATGGGGTAAACTGAACAAGAATAAACACAGGGACTTGAGAGATACAAGCAGAACAACATCTCCACAAGTATTTCTACATAGATGTGCAGAGGAGCACAGTTCAGATACTCAAAGGGGAGCCAGAGGGAATGTGGAGCCAGTAATCAGAGGGGACAGTTTCAGAAGACAGAATGGATAACTGAAGATCTATTGAATTAGCTGGGTGTGGTGGCACACTTGTTTAATTCCAGCACTCTGGAAGTAGAGCCAAATCCAGGTACCAAGAGCTAGCTACATAGGTAGAGACCCTGTCTCATGCAAACAAACAAAAAATTTATTGCACAGTACACTGGTTAGAATTAACAGTTACTAACATCTATTTCATAATTGCTCATAGTAAGAGCCAGAAGACAGGAAGAAGAGATGTAAAATGCTGTCTTTGGTACATGATTTAGACATAGCAGACATGTGAGCATGCCTAAAGCCAATCATGCATGGGCAAATTTCTTCTGTGACCCTAAAGTTCCCTGCTGAACTATTGGCAAAGGATGTATTCTAGGGGAAAGACACTCATTGTTGTCAGTCATGTTCCCAACAGGTGAACCTACAAACTTCAGTAGACAGTTCCAGATGTGCACACACAGACAGTCCTTGATAAAATCGGAGGGTCACAGCTGGGTGGGGTGGTGCATGCCTTTAATCCAAGAACTGGGGAGGCTCAGGCAAGAAAATCTTTATGAGTCTGAGGCTTGCCTAGACTACAGACTGAGTTCCACAACTGTTACTGCTACAAAGAGAAAAACTATCGGGAAAAAAAAAAAAAACAGAAAAATGGAGTTTGAGGTCAGCCTAGTCTACAGAACAACTTCCAGAATAGTCAAGCTTAGGCAGTAAAGGACAGAAATCTGGGGAAGATGTAATTGAACATGAGCACCTATACTTCAGTCCTGTACAAACAAGACGGACAGACAGACAGAGGTAATGTAAAAGGAGAGCAACAGAGCTTCTGCATGGATACACAGAGAAACGTGGTGGCCATCTAGCTGGGACTCTGAGAATCAACCCCTATCCAAGGCTTCACACAAACTTGTAAAGCTGCTTCTGGGTTTCAAAGACTCCCATTCCACATCCAACACTTACTCTGAAGTCAACAGTCCAGATGGTGGGACAGTGAAGTCAGACAGGGTACCAATAGAGAGATAAAAGATGGGGAAGCTGCCTCCCAAAATTACATCCCCAGGACGGTCAAAGTGAGGCCTCTGCCTTGGCAACAGCCAGGCTCTTGGTGAGGAAAAAGCAGACACAGAGACACAGCCAAAGAGAACAGGAAGGAGAGTACACAGCCACATGCCTGCTGGGTACCAGGCAATCAGTGACAGGACAGCCTCATATGGGGCAATGGCTAGCAGTGAAGAAGGCTTTTATAAGGGAGGATGCTCTCGATCAAGGACCTGAGGCTAAGACCACACTGGGAATTATAGGTTTGCAGGCTGTGAGGAGAATATTGATCACAACATGGTGGAGGTGGGTGACCACTAAATCCCAGAGTCATTAAAAGTTTTATTCCCTTCTCCTGGGTCTTCTTAGACTCTTTGCATCCAAGGTCACAGTTCTGGGCATCATTTGCTGACTGCAGAAAAGGCAACAATGGGTTTGATTATCTCCTGAGGGACTTGCAAGCCCAGGAGCAGCTGTGCTCAGGACAATGTTTGGTAGAGAAACCCCAGGTGAGTACAAGAAGCAAACAGCCCAGAAGCTGAAGTCAGATATTTAGCACACTGTTCACACTCTATAGCCCCAGAATAGACCTCCCCCCATGTATCTCCCCTGTGTTGATCCACTATATTCTGGATGGTTTTGCTGTTCCTTAAGGAATTTTCAGAAAAGTTTATCTATGACAATTTGGAAATACACACAACCAAACACCAGATAACAATACCCATGTTTGTAGAGCCATTACTCATCTTCCCAAGGTACTGAGCCTTTTACTATGATTTGAAGACAGATTTCAAGGTTGCCAAGGTGGTGGTGTTCAGGTAAATTCACTTGATACACAAGCCTGATGGCCTGTGTGTGATACCAAAAAATCAGCATAAAGTTAGAAGGAGACCCCACCCCATCCTTCAAACCCTGCAAGCTACAAGTCCCACCCCACCCCAAACCCTTCTATCCCCAGTGACCTCAGAGAAACTCTTAAACACAGGCTCCAACTACAAAGCAAAATCCAAGAGGGACGCTGAAGAACAAGGTGTAACTGCAGAAAAAGGACAAAGAGAGTGAATTGAGAGAGCAGACAAAGAGAATGAGCCAAGGGAGATCTCGGCAGCTCACTGAAACACAGACAGTGACCGTACATAATAAAGTCAGAACAGTTCTCAAAGACACAGACAGCAATGGCAAGGATGGGACTAAGAGGCAAAACATTGCCAGCACCAAGTAGAGGAAGAAATGGGTAGATGTCAACGGAAAGCAACTTTTTGAAAATCAGTGTAGCGGTTTCTCAGGAAATTGGGAGTCAACCTACCTCAGGATCCAGCAATACCACTCTTGGGAAGATACCCAAGAAATGCCCTATCATACTACAAAAGCATTATAACATGAAGGCTGGGCTCGTTTGGGTTTCTTTTTTTCTCGATCAGTATTGATTTTAAACCTTGCTGGATATAGTAGTCTGTACTTGCATTCCTGGTCCTGGTAATACCAGGAACCAATATCATACAACATGAAGATTTGATTATCCTAACCCAGAAGACACAAAATAAAATTATTTGAAATGTAAATTTATGAGAACGATGGAGATCTTTAAAGAGGAAATGAAAAATTCCCTTAAAGAAATGGAGGGGGAAAAAAAACAAAATTGGAAGAAACCAATAAATCCCTAAAGAAATCCAAGAAAACCAAGAAAAAAAAAACAATCAACAGGTGAACCAAACAGTTCAAACAGTTCTAGACTTGAACACTAAAATAGAGTCAATAAATAAAATACAAATCAGGGAATTCTGGAAATGGAAAATCCTGAATAAATGAATGGGAACTCCAGAGGCAAGTATAACCAGCAGAATACAAGAGATGGAAGAGAAAATTTCAAGTGTTGAAAATACTATAGAGAAAGTAGATTCATGAGTCAAAGAAAATAATAAATCCAACAAATTCTTAACATAAAATATCCAGGAAATCTAGGATACCATGAAAGTCCAAAACTAAGAATAATAGGGATAGGAAAAAAGACTAAATCCAGCTCTAAGACACAGAAAATATGTTCAATAAAATCATAGGAGAAAATTTTCCAAACCTAGATAAAGATATACTTATGAAGGCACAAGAAGCCAACAGAACACCAAATAGATTGGACCAAAAAAAAAGACCCCTCAGCATATACTACTAAATGTGCAAAACATACAGAGTAAAGCAGAAGGTTGAGAGTTATAAAGAAAAAAGCTCAAGTAACATATAAAGGTAGACCTATCAAAACTACACCTGACTTCTCAATGAAAACCATGAAAGCCATAAGGTCTAGGACAGATGTGCAACAGAAACTAAGAGACCAGAAATGCAAGTACACACTACTATATCAAGCAAGGTTTAAAATCAATACTGATCGAGAAAAAAAGAAACCCAAACAAGCCCAGCCCTAATGTTTCAATGCTTTTGTAGTATGATAGGGCATCTCTTTGGTATATTCCCAAGAGTGGTATTGCTGGATACTGAGGTAGGTTGACTCCCAATTCCTGAGAAACTGCCACACTGATTTCCAAAATTGGTGCACAAGTTTACATTCCCACCAGCAATGGATGAGTGTTCCCCTTACTACAAATCCTATCCAGCATAGGCTATCATTGGTGTTTTTGATTTTAGCGATTCTGACGGTTGTAAGATGTTATCTCAAAGTTGTTTTGATTTGCATTTCCCTGATTGCTAAGGAAGTTGAACATGACCTGAAGTTTCTTTGGGCCATTTAAAATTCTTCTGTTTTCAATACTGTAGCTCTGTAATAGAGTTTGAAGTCAGGGATGGTAAAGCCTCCCGACGATCCTTTATTGTATAAGATTGTTTTGACTATCCTGGGTTTTTTGTTTTTCCATATAAAGTTGATTATTGACTTCTCCAGATCTGTGAAGAATTTTAATGGGATTTTGATGGGGATTGCATTGAATCTATAGATTGCTTTTGGTAGATTGCCATTTTTACTATGTTGATCTGCCCAATCCAAGAGCAAGGGAGATCCTTACATTTTCTGGTGTCCTCTTCAATTTCTTTCTTCAAAGACTTAAAGTTCTTGTCAAATAGATCTTTCACTTCCTTGGTCAGAGATACCCCTAGATATTTTATGGTATTTGTGGCTATCGAGAAAGGTGATGCTTCTCTGATTTCCCTCTCTGCTTCCTTATCCTTAGTGTATAGGAAGGCAACTGATTTTTTGGAGTTGATCTTGTATCCTGCCACATTACTAAAGGTGTTTATCAGCTGTAGGAGTTCTTTGCTGGAGTTTTTGTGGTCACTTATGTATACTATCATATCATCTGCAAATAACGAAAGCTTAACTTATTCCTTTCCAATATGAGTCCCCTTGATCCCCTTATGTTGTCTTATTGCTATTGCTAGAACTTCAAGCACTATATTGAAGAGGTATGGAGAGAGTGGACAGACTTGTCGTGTTCCTGATTTTAGTGGTATGGCTTTGAGTTTTTCTCCGTTTAATTTAATGTTAGCTGTCGG